TGATGCGAAAGTAAGAACACAAGACTGGTATAAGTAAAGATTTATTAGCCCAAACACTATGACAGCGACGAATCGAATATAGTCTAAAATATACTGGTTTATATATTGATTGTACACCCATTTTGATTAATAATTAAGATTAGATCACATACTCAGTTGTAACAAATCATTTACTGAGCATAGTTCATGTCAAGTGAATGCAAGAATATCGTACATTATACAGAAGAAAATATCATGCTAGAAAAACAATCAAATACTTCACTGAATGATCCTCATGTTGAATCAAAACGGATGTAATATTGAATAAAACTCATAACGAGTAATTCAATCGAAAATTGACTTTTCTTTCCATCATATCAAGCAATGATTAATCTACTGGGTATAACTCGGGTCCTAACAGCTTGATTTTCTGCTAAATTATATTTAGTTAACCTTATCAGCATTCAAAAGAACTCATTTTGTATTATTTGTTTGCATCTTCCTATTCATTTTTAGGACTGTAACTGAGTGATCTCTTATTGGCATATGTGCATTATGTGAAGATACTGGGTTCGAGTCCCGGAGTGAACATGAACACTGGGATTTAGGTATATCCAGCTGCCAAGTCTCGCATAGGACGAAACGTACGTCCTGGATTCTGTTGCTAACCGTCATCCATCTTTACTTATAATTTAGAAAGACATCTGTTTCTTACCTCATATTTTCTAAGTATTATTTAAATGCTCATGTCTTAAGTATTTTTGAACATGTTAATTTTAAAAAAATTTTATAAGGACAACTTTTTCCTGAAATTATGTCTTCACACGAAACTGAACTACAAGGTGTTACAAAAACCACTAACTTCCTATTTTATATTTTTCTATTCACATTTATTAACGACTTCCTGCTCACAAAAGATTGAGTGTTTAGAACAACAATAAGCTGACTTAATTTTATTTAGTAATCATAATGAACTATAATTTAATGATTGTTTACTATTTTTTCTCATGCCACTGACTACTCACAGTTTCAAATAATATTGAGCAGACATTATTTTTGTATTTATGACCGCAATCTGTCATTTTTTACTTGGGTTTGTACTTTTGTGGAACATCCCTACAATATACCATGTTGTTTCTTATTAGATAAATTATGTGAGATAAACGTTTAGCACCGATTTTCACGATTGACTGAATTTAATATGTCACGAGTCAAGCTTTTGACACAGAGGTATTAACGACTAGTCAGTTTATTTTCAAAATGATCTTGTTTTTCCTAATATCCATTTATTTGAATTTGTTTTTATGATACATTTTTCTAGTAGAATGATAAATTTATTGACTTTTCCAATTTTTCATAAGATAATGCTTCTGAGTAGTAAAAACTCTTAAAGGATCCTTATTGATGAAAGTGTCTATTCTCTGTAAAAAATTTAAATGTTTATAGCTCATTACTTTTCACTATATTCGATAATGTGAAACGATTCCAATCGGTATTTATCTCAAAATAACTTCCACAATATGTTACTTATTTTCATTACAGATATATTGTAAAATGGCATTATGTTGGCGTTATGTTAACAAATATTTTGTTTGGTATTGTGAAAACATTTATTCAGAATATTTTTTAGTATGTTGTATTACTACAGCAAGTTGTACCAAAATGTAATATCCAGCACTTTTTAGAACAAACCTATCTGTATTGCTTCAACTGTAGGTCAGGGTAAATATTAAATACAGTTTAGACCTAATTGCTTTGTAGTCAACACTTAATTATTTGATTTATTGTGAGTTTAGTGTATGATTGTTCATGGATAAAATGCAGTTAAACAGTTTTCCCTTTAATCGGTATGATTATGTAGTTCTGATGGTGGTTGTTACCTAAAGAAAACCTTTGTAAGAAATTTAAAATGGAGAAAAGAAAATACACTGAACTTAAGAGGTTAGAGATTCCACTGACTATTCAATAATTCAATGAGTTTGAAATATATTAGTTTTCAAATGAAGACAATAGTTAATTAGCATAATCCATACAATCTGTTTTAATATACCATTTTATCAAGTTATATTCCTGAAGATAAAACTGAAATTAAAATCATGTCATATAAAAAAAAGAATGAACAAACTGAGTGAACAACAACAGCAAACCAGTAAATATGAATTTAAGTTTTATAAAAATGTAGGAACAACTTTATTATTGTTGGTAACATACTGATCACTACGTAATTTTATTTATAGTCTATAGATCATTAGGATAATAGGAGATGCGGAAGGATCAACATAAATCATAGGAATGATATCTACTCAGAAATTTGATCAGTGGAGATATTTAAAATGTTTCTTACAAAACCATCCTTAATAATTATTATTTGAATATGTGTAAGTGTTATGCATTGCAACATAATCACTACTATTATTATTAGCTTTATTTAATGTTATATTTTGAGTACAATATAGAATTCTCAGTGCAAGTTATTTCAAAAAGTTTCCGTTTCTTATTTCTTGATCTATCCTGACGACAAACCTTGAGTGATACCCAATTAGATGTTAGTCGTTCAGTAATCGACATGTGAATAATGTACATTATTTTCGATGTATATTGCCAGTAACTACAATGTCTTTGATTGTGATCTTTCCTAACTTGTATAGTGGAAGGTCGTGAACTTTACACAAACGCACCTGAATATGTTCTGCAATTAATTGACATAATGATCTGTTGAAAAAAAACAAAAGATAGATAATTTGTTTAAGTATTAAGATGGCAGGAACAGGTAGCCCAGATATTCAAGCAGGCTGCCAGATCCTTATTCTCAACTCAATATTCCTTTTGCATAACTTCAAATTAATAAACATTGCATTTTTAGGATACACACTGCTTGACATGGAAACTCTATATAATGTATTTTTCAAAGTTTATATTAAACATAGTTCTTTAAGTAATTTTCATCAATATCTCATTTGAACTTCATTCTTTTTGAAGCTCAAAGTAGCTTTAAGTCAAGTTGCGATCTTGAGATTTTGTTGAGAAACATTTTTCCAGTGGTATATAACCTCCATGAACCTATGATGTAACACAACATTGCACTTCAAAGAAATCAATAAAGTGAATAAGCAATGATAACAGGACATTTGAGGTAAATAAAGATAGTAGTTCTGATTCGAGTGTCGAATTAATATCTCAGGATAATAAAAGACACTCAATACTACTATCGAAATAGAATAATAATAAATTAGGCGGTGATTGACAAAAAATGACTGTAAAAATACACAACTAAAAAGTTGTATTTTAAAGGTTTCTCTGATGTAACACATATTTATGGTATGATTATTTTAATTAAAAAATTCCCTTCGAGTAAAACAGTCATACTCAGATTCCTATGTCGATAAACATCTGAGTTATCTTCGTACGTTACTGGGAAGAATAGCGAGAAATGTGAGCATCATGAAGTTTTTTCTTGATAGAACTAAATTTAAACTTAGTTTTTAATTCCATCATTGCCGTAAAACCAAATAAATGAGTGTAATATATGCCTATTTGAAGAGAAGTTTTGTTATGGACTGACAGCTTCAAAAACATGTGTTAACAGCAGGTAATATATAGAGAAACGTAAAACATTAGACTGAAAGACTATATAATTGCTATAAAACAGTATAGAAAACACACTTATCAGTCCGTCGTACACAGTAAAACAACCCTTACCTATCCCTTGAATAACATGTAATAAATTCCTATGCGATGGATAAATCAATCTATTATACTGGGACTGATAAACACACGTCAGCACATATAGGAGAGAAATATTGTCTTCAATCAGAACCTAACTAGACTGCTTTAGTGTATAGTAATATTTGTATCTATATATGAAAATATACTAAACTGATCACGGAAATTTGTAAGTGATAGCATAGATTACATAATTACGGATTATAGTAGAAACGTTTTATATTTTGATAATAATTCGTTTTCCTTTAGAGAACCATAGTATGGAATGTTTTTATGAAGTAGAACGAGATCTGCGTGAGTAAATCCATTGCAGTCCTAAAACTCAAACTGAAGTTCCAGGTACCCAATATACATGAATTAAAATTAATATATATAAAACTACTAAAAATAACCTGAACAACGTTGAGAATGTTTTTGAACAGAAAAACGATGATGAATTCCCTTACCATTTGACCAACAACAGATATTTAGATTATTTTGTTTCATATGAGTTAGTTTTGATGTCTCAGAGTTTCTCATATCTAGATTTTACACAACTATTATACATAAATTTTATTAGTATCACTTTCAAGTCAAGCTCTATTTACTCCAAGTTTTGAAGTAATAGACACTAATAATTGACTACATATCTTTTATTGTTTTTTTCTGAAATATGGTGTTATCAAATTTTCGCTTCTTCAATAAACCTTCACTAATAAAAGTGAATCAGATTTCAAGTTGATTACAATATATTTTATAGGTGATAAACTTACACTATTGATTTGGTTTATTCAGTATTTCACCCACCCTGTTTACGTTTGTCGTTAGTGATATGAGTAGACATGATAGTTTTGACACTGACAAAAAATATACTTCTTGAATTATCTTTATTAGAACGAAATTAATATTTTGATAATTCCTCACAGTCGCTCAAAAAATTACTGAATATTATTCCCCTAATATATAGACCATTAATTCAGAACTTCTGAAATATGAGACTCCTATATTTACGCTTCCATCATACACTCGTTTTGAAATGTAATATATATGGTCACCTATAGTATAAAATTAGTCTTCAATATATTTGATGGATCATTTAAGCGAAGAAATTAGTTTACTGTATATATATTTATTACCTAAACATCACATTAACACCATAAAGTAAACTGTTTGCTCATCACTCAGAAATATAATTTCAAAATTCTTTCACTAATGTTTCTTTAGGCATATAGAAGCATAAAAAATATTTAGTAATTTATTGACGATTTTAAGTTACATTTGTAATGCAGCTAGTTATTGAAAAAAAACTACTACTTTTTAAAAGTGTATTCAGTAATATACATTTTCAATATCAAGGTGAAAAGTACAGAATAGTATAATAAATTATCATTATTCTATAATATTGTTATTCTACACTTTCAAAATCTAAGCAATTTTATCACCGTTAATACAAGTATCCTAGTCAGTAACAATGTATATTTAAATCTTACCAACTGTTGTTGTTGTTTTTTAAACACAAACCTTCAAGTGTTTTGTACACAATGGTTAATTTTGTTTACCTATTAAAATAATTATTGTTGTCTGTACAATTGATTTAAATTGAAATGATAATTAATTTATTCATGTAATTCATTTGTGTGAAATGTAAAAAATAGTATCTATGACTTCCATCATAAATATCTCTATTTTTAATGTTATGGAATAGTTAATTGCTAGTCATTTTTTTAATGTGAAACTGTACAATATTTAGTTATGTATACATTTATCAGTTTATGTTTCCATAACGGAAGTTTGTGTATAAGCTGCGCTTAAACTGAGACGTGTAGTAGCTGGTTTCAAATCTGATTTCATTATTTGTCCTGTAGATTTATTTTCTTTCATTAATAATTGATCACTTTCTTTATCCATTGATACAATATCATGTCGTGAATGCCATGAATTCATATAATGAGTAGATGGATTGGTGGTTTTCCGTTGATTATTATGTATTCCACATTTATTGATTAAATTTCTAAATAAGTCTTTCAACTGTGAACGAAACCGTCTTCCAAGAAAAACGTAAACAAAAAAGTTTACGCCACTATTTAAACATACTAAAGCATTTGTAACTGGACGAATAATTTCGATTAAACTTCGATGATTAATCAGATAAATAATTTGGTATCCAACAGCTGGTAATTCACACACTAAATATATTATAATTACTCCAACACATAAACGATTTACTTCCATTGTACGAGAACGATTAGATTTTGTAACACGTACAAAATAAGCATGATTATCTGAAGAACTTGGTGCTCCATGACAACATTTTGGGATAGTATGATGATGTGATGGGTGTTGTTTTTGAGAATGTTGATGATAGTCTCTGTGAAGAGAATGATAACTACATTGTTCAAACTGTCTGTTAGCGCAATCTATTCTAGCAATAATTTGTGCTCTTCTCTGATTCGCATACTTAATTCCTCGAATAAGTAACACATTAAAAATAGCAATGATAACATTAGGTAGAATAACAATTAAAATTGTATAGCTGATTAGACGATAAATTAATCTGAAGGCATAGTTATTATTCACCCATGACCGTATAGCACTATGGTATATGAGAATACCTTTGGGTAATTCCGTGAAGTTATAATAACCGGAATGTAGAATATCTGTCTTGTTATCTTCATTAGAGTAACACAATAATGGCATTGCATCAACAATAAAAAAATGTGGAATATTGTAAAGCGATGATAATATAACAATAAGTGATATAGCAATATGCGCTTTTTTCCGTGTACATATACTAGGTGCATGAAGCGGTTTACATACAGCTACCCAACGCTCTAATGATACTAGAACAACAGTCCAATTTCTCATCATTCTTACCGCCATTCCAGATCCATACAATATTTTGCTCGTATGCGCATAGAAGTTTATGTATGACAACCATAAAATATAGAAAGATAACGTTTTCAGAAATTGGAAAAAGAAGCATAATATTAAAAATGCTGTATCAAATACGGCTAAACTGGTTAATATTAAACTAGTTGTTCCATGAGATCTGTCACGTGCTAGAACGAATCCACTCAAGACATTGCCAGTAATCCCGGCAAGAAGTATACAGCCAACCAAGAAAACATCAAATGCTACATTATATAGAACAACCCAATTTGGTTTGAAAAGACCTGGCATACTTCCAATGTCTTGAATGAAATATGTATTATTATTTGGTAATTCGATCAGTTCAGCACAGTTTGATAAAAGTTTTAGTAAATCTTCCGTACTCATATCCTTAGAGCTCAAAAAATTAGTTTCATTAATTAATTCCATTCTTACGAGATGCTCAATGTATTTTATTCATAATAGAATGGTATATTTGGATTTTGAGGGAACGATGCTGAACAAACCATTAAATAACTATCGCTTTGGCAAGATACTAAATACTATTTGTTATGATTGGTTGATAATGAACCAATCATAGACGTTTCAGAGAAAATATCCCAAAGCACGTCTAATATTGATGTCTTATTATTAGTACACTGAACTTCTTTGATAAAATCATTCAGATAATTTTATATCTGAACCTATGGTCAAGAATTTCATTAATTAAGATCAGCATTGGTGGTTCTATTTAAAGAATAGTTTTAAAAGTCCAACTATAAATTTTGTTTTGCAAAGTACATCCATAGCTACTTCAAGAATTTTATTGGTTTGACAATGTGGAAGCAATATTTACCATATTACAATAATTTGAAAGTGATTCGAATTCGAACGCTTGTTGACATTTCATAGTATAAAGTGATTTATGCACTGTGTTTATAATATTAAAAATGGATAAAATACAAATATATTTTTACCCCATAAGAAGCAGTTTTTCACATTCTATGTTGTTATTTTAATAAAAAAAACTATCGCTGAAAAATTCCCATTATATTAAAACACAATTGTATGAACGAAGAATATTCTTTTCAATAATTTCTCATCAGGTTTTACAATTATAAATCCAGATTAATAATTCATAAAATTGGCCAGATTTATGGCAAAATACATCATATGGAAATTGTAATATATGAATCAGGAATTGTTTGTTATATAAATAAAATCGTTAATGTTGGGGCTGATTAATATGAAGTGTTAACTTGAATCAGTTTATAAGTGAAATGAAATTGTGAGATAAATATGATCAACATGGGGTAAGAGAGAGAGAGAGAGAATATTGTGATTACAAATCGGAAATTACGTAATATGTAAAATAATTAGGTCAACTATAGTAGATTCAGGGGTGTATATTGAATAAATTCATCAAAAAGGGGGTTATCAAGTGTAAAGACAATAATAATAATAATAATAATAATAGTGATAATAATAATAATAATAAAGTTTGGGACACAAAATGAACATTAACCAGATTACGTCACCACATAATAAGATTGATTATTAGCTAGCTGGCCAGGGTAAAAGGAGTGGCTGAACATACTTCTTTTGGATACAAAGCTCTGGCTTTTTGATTCGAATAGCAATTGCTTCAGCCGTCTGTAGGATTCGCAGTCTGGCGGAATTAGGTAGACTGCTGTTGACACGATAGATAATTGCAAAAGATTGCTCCATGTTTGCTGTATGTCCTGTTTGGACTAAATGGTCTAAGATGGAGCTGTTAACAGTTTTGACAACACCTTTGCTTAACCACACGGGTAGGTGCTCACGAGCCCGAATGTACAAATTTCTAGAACATCTGCCAATATAACTTGCTCCACAGGAGCAGTTGAGTTGATAGATACAGAAGGAGGTGGCTAGTCTAGGTAATTTATCTTTCAACCTCGGAGTGATTATTGGTCGTGTGGAGAATACTAGTTGTAGCTTAGCTGCATTAAAAGTCCTTTGAATTGATCTACTTAACTTAAGTCTTAACATTTCACTCGGCGCGTCGCCTCTGAATTGTAAACGTATATATAGAGGCTTTTTATTTACCGTTGTGCGTTCTCTACGCTGTCTTTTGTTGGCTAAGTTTTTATTTATAAATTTCTCTGGATATCCATTTTCCTTCAGGGTTGTAAACAATGTCTTCGTTTCATCTTCAATCGTATCCATAGTGCATATAGTCTTGATTCTATGATGTAGTGTCTTGATAAGGTTCCCATCGCGACGCCATCTATTTGTCTGTAGATTTCCCCATTGAATTTGAAATATACATTCATAGTGCATTTTAGTAAAAATTCTTTGATGATCTCTACAGGGATTGTCGTTTCTAGTTCCTGTTCTCTAAGCTATTCGAATCAAAAAGCCAGAGCTTTGTATCCAAAAGAAGTATGTTCAGCCACTCCTTTTACCCTGGCCAGCTAGCTAATAATCAATCTTATTATGTGGTGACGTAATCTGGTTAATGTTCATTTTGTGTCCCAAACTTTATTATTATTATTATTATCACTGTTATTATTATTATTATTATTATTATTATTATTGTCTTTACACTTGATAACCCCCTTTTTGATGAATTTATTCAATATACACCCCTGAATCTACTATAGTTGACCTAATTATTTTACATATTACGTAATTTCCGATTTGTAATCACAATATTCTCTCTCTCTCTCTTTTACCCCATGTTGATCATATTTATCTCACAATTTCATTTCACTTATAAACTGATTCAAGTTAACACTTCACATTAATCAGCCCCAACATTAACGATTTTATTTATATAACAAACAATTCCTGATTCATATATTACAATTTCCATATGATGTATTTTGCCATAAATCTGGCCAATTTTATGAATTATTAATCTGGATTTATAATTGTAAAACCTGATGAGAAATTATTGAAAAGAATATTCTTCGTTCATACAATTGTGTTTTAAAAAAAGCTATATATGCTGTGTTTTTTTAGCTATGACTGCTAGGTGTCAAGAGAATTATAAACTCAATATGATTATTAGTTTTAATATTGTGTTGATTTCAGTGTACGAATTGTTGGTCCCTAAAATGCTAATGTTCATTGAGGAGCTTCGAATCATTCTTTTCATGTTTATTTCTTGATAACGAGTAACAACAAACGTAAATATGAATGGTCCACAGTAGTTGCTAAGTTTAGAAAAATTTGATGTTTAATATTATTTAGGAAATTACTTTTATATGTGACCTGATAAAAATTTTAATTTACATGAACCGTAAACATTTAAAAGCATTATCGTTATTATCTGGAAAGTATGTATTTCATCTCCCTTGAGTACATGAAAAACAGTAATAAGATATAATATATTGATTTTAGGTAAATATATATTTGTTTCTATCTCATTAAATATAACTATATTCTTTAACTGTTATGACAAAGCATCTTTGAAATTATGTTAACGAATAATGAATTAAGTATTGTCTGTTTATAATATAAGTACCTTAACAGAAATACCCAGATTCATATTTTTATTACTTCTATTTTATGACTTTATTTCGAAAGGTAAAAAAACCCGAACTTCTATTCATAAATTAGTTGTATTCAAACCCATAGTAGTAAGTTATTTATATATTTTATAGAAATAAATTTGAAGTTTTCTTTCACTCTCTCAAGAAATTCTTTATGTTATCTTTAAGATAAAGCAGATTTTTTTTCCTCTCTCTCTATCAACTCGAAGTTATAAAGTATAAGGAAAAATTCTGATGACATGTAGTTGTAATCTTTATTGAAATCTTGACATTTCAACATATGTTGTATATACAATTGATGCATATTCGTAAAAACAAAAAAAATTAAAAGATTATCATGAAAGTTGATTTCAAAATGAATCATATCTAAAATTAAATCCTTTTTTCAGTAATCCATCAAAATATGGGGCGGAATCTTGGAGAACTATGAAAGCTATTATTCAGAAGATACAGGTGTTTATTAACAGTTGTTTCCGCAAAATACTTTGAATCCGTTGGCCGGACACTATAAACAACAATCTACTGTGAGAGATAACAAACCATATTCCAGTGGAGGAAGAAATCAGGAAGATGCACTGGAAGTGGATAGAACATACATTGAGGGAAGCACCCAACTGCGTCACAGGGCAAGCTCTCACTTGGAATCCTCAAGACCAAAGAAGAAGAAGATCAAAGAACACATTACGCCTAGAAATGAAGACAGATATGAGAAGAATAAACAATAATTGGATAGAACTAGTAAGGAAGACTCAGGATAATGTGGGCTAGAGAATGCTGATTGGTGGCCTATGCTCCAACGGGAGTAACAGGCATAAGTGTGTATTTATAATCTTTTTAAGTTACTCCAATTCGCATAACATTATTATCAATAATTCAAGGTAAGTTAATGGGTATAGGACCATAAAAATGAAACAGAATAGACAGTATTTCATATTTTCCATAATCCGTTAAACTAAACTACTTTAAATTTTAAAAAAAGAATATGAACCAAGAACGGCGTCATATAAACTTTTAGTTGTGTGGGTGTAATTTAAAAAGTCGAAAACTCAGAAAGCGAAGTTAGGTTAATAGTACGTCACTGCCATAGCTTTACTAAACATTATAGGGAAAAAGATCCTAACACACTAAAATTGTTAATTATTATAGAAAATTTCGAGTTCTTTTATGTTCTTTTAAGTGCGTATAAGGGTGACTGATACATACGTATTAAACTATCGTGAGCTGTGCATACGTTTTCTTAGAAAGACGAACTTATAGCAACTCTTCTACAATTAATTTCGATTATTGTTAATTTGGGATAATCCTTTTTTATTAACTTAACAGATAATGTTATAATAAAATTATAAGTTCACATATTTCTTTGTACTATTATGATTACTATCATATCTGTATATACGTATACGCTTGATCACATGACAGACTGTAGCTAAAATGCTGATAGCTCAAATATCACTCGATGATTCATTCTGTTTTCCATGTATATATGTACTGAAATCTTATTATTAGCTTTTGCTCTGCTTAGCAGCTTCTTATTCAATTTGACTATAAATTTGCCTCTGTATTTGCTCACGCATACACACATTCACATCTCAGCTTCAAGTTCTCTTGATGTACTTATAAAATTGTGATCAGTGTTATCCGCTAATAAACTTTAGTTTCCGCTTCTTATTGCCTACTGAATTCACACTCGTAATAACGGTTACAAAGGTTATTGATTAACGAAGAAAAGGCACCACTACAGACTATCGTTTTGGTAGAGCATATAGATCTAAATAATGGGCACATTATTTTGTCAGTATTTCAGTAATCATAGCCATGTATTCTAACGATCAACAATCTACATACAATTCAATTTTGCACATATTTATAGGTCACTGATGTATTATGTCAAAAATCAATCATTATGGGTAAAAAATGTTTGGCAAGAAAGATATTTATAAAACAATATTTTACTAATAGCGTTTACTTGATAAACCATATCAACTTAATTTGGATTATTCTGATGGAATGTTGTAATCAATCTAAAGATTTGGCTGATAGGTCTTAGGCCTCCATATTAAACTACTTTAAAGACAAAACATAACTATTTTTCTCCATAAACTGGGATTTTAACAAAGGATTGAAAAGTATGGTAAATTACTGTTTCTTAAATTCCATAATAAAACGCACACTATTATACGAAATGTATTCAGTGTATCAAGGAAAGGTATTGTTACACAATAACATTAATTCATTTGTTTCTTGGATTCTATTTAGATGATTATAATTTCAAACTTTAATATTAAGAAATCGGTAAAGGACTGTTTATGTGTTTATATGAATGTATAAATCAAGCTTACAAACATCAATTTAGAATAACTGAGACAGTAATGAAGAATTATTATTGATTAGTAGTATTTTAATATTCTGGGAAAGTGAACTAAGAAACCTATAAAGACAAACGATTTTCCTTTTTTAGATAAATAATTATTTACAATGGAAAAGCTACCTCAAACAAAATGATCAAATCCCAAATAAGGAGTAATGAAAAGTAGTAGGGTTCTTAACTAGTTGCAGTTGAAATTGTATAACAATGATAACTGTTTTCTTTTTGTCTATATCAGTGGTCCTCTATCAATCTATGTCATTAATAACTTTGAATAGTTCTTTTCATGCAACGTTTGCTATTAATTCTAAAGACAACGAATAAATTGATACACATTGTTTAACGATGACTTTTATTTTAGTAAATAAAGAAATTTA